TTCAAGCTGCAGTCCGCCTCGACCGGCTGAAGTATCAGCCGGGGCGCCGACACACGGCACTTGAGTCGAGACATAAAAGGTAACCCTCAGATGGAAAATTTCGACACCGACAACGACTAACACAGTAACGAAACGCCAAACGGTTCTAATACTGACGGAATGATCACCGATGTCTGCTTTCAGATGGACAACCCCGTTGTGCGTGACTTGGTCGCAGAGTTGCTGCAGGGAGAAAACCCCGCTGCCGTCGTTCGCCGTCCCAAATCCCGGGGGATCCATGTCGGAGCCCCCATGGGAGCAGCTCCCCGTTTGGTTTCCCGGGACTACAAACCAAAGAAGAATCCACCACGGAGGCCCCACGCTATGCGAGATCGTCGAGGAAGCCGCCCGTGAGGCGTCGCCGTGAACGGCAGAAGAAATAAAATTATTTTTTTGGGGTATTGTATTGGGGATTTTAGTAATAAAAAAAAGTTACACTCCTTTTTTACCGACGAAAGGGGGGAGTGTAACGAAGCGACAGGTGGGAGACCTTACCGTCCCAGACGGTACCAGGACCTGGGGAACCCGTCTGACGACCACGGACCTCCCATCCCTCGGGATGGACCCGGACAATACTTGGATCTATGCATAGAGCTGTTCGCGCGCTGTCCCCGCGACACCAACACCACCAAGCTCCAAAGCGACGCAACTAAGTGGTGGACGGACTCCAAGGACACGTATGAACGGCTAGACGCAGTGCGTGACCATGAGCCGCGACAAAGACACCATCATCAAATATTGGTATGCAGACATCAACATCTTTAAGTGCAAACACCGCAGGAAGGCAAAATTGAAAAGACAAGTAAAAGCGATGAATATGTCTTAACAAAAGTCTCTTCGAAAAAAACAAGGACGACTTTAAAAGTGATGAAGTTTCACTTCAACAATTTGGAGAATTATGTGACAAATTTATTCCAGGAACTATGCCATAAATTGTTAAAATTTAAGCCCAATACCACAGTAATAAAAAGAGTATTCGTTACTCAACGGAAGTGAAACAGCTATGTTTATCCCTGTTTTTCCGGCCCAAAAGCTTATCAAATTTTGAGTACATTTTTTAAATTTCCATGAAAAAGAACATTACAAAGGATTACGAAAAATTTTAATTTCAGTCCAGGTATTCAAGATGTAATATTTGATATATTACGTCCAAAGGTATAGAATAATTACTTAGGTATATAATTGTTTTTAAAATGTTATTTTTTATAGTATGTGTAGGTAGATAACTTGACTGAGAAACATTGCGTTTTATGCATTGATGAGATGTGTTTAAAAAAACATTTGTTTTATAATGTTGGAAAAGATGAGATGATCGGCCTCGATGATTTAGAAAAAGGACAGAGTTTAGAAGCAGCAACTAGTGGAGTAGTTATTGTTCTCATGGGCTCAAATTTTATAAATCTTTTTGATTTATTAGTTCTAGCCAAGACAACTACAGGAGAGACGTATTTTTACGTGGACAACAAAAAAATGTACTATATGTTTGATGCGCCCCACTTATTAAAAGCGACAAGAAATAATATGCTGAAATATGCATTTGTACATGAAGGTGCACAAATTGGAATTACATTGAGTAGTTTTATGAAAAAAATCGACCACGTGCCTTTGAAAAAAGTAAGGTAAAATATGCGTCTCAGGTGCTGAGTGCAACAGTCTCTGCAGCTTTAGACACGTATGTGACGCTAAAAACCTTACCACCACAGGCAAAAAAAAACGCAGAAACTAATAGAAATGTTGGATCAACTATTTGATGTTTTGAATTCGTCAACATTCAATAACAACAAAAAAATCAGCCTTTTCGAAATCTGAATTACCAAAAAAAATTGTTGGAAATATTTTGAAGATTTCGAAGTTGGAACTTGGAACTTGGAAAAATGTCCCCTCTTCCATGAAGTGCATTCGTGGTTGGGTGGTGACAATTAGACCTCCATCGGGTCTGCGGGAAGATTTGTCCAAAGTAGATTTTAAGTTTTTGTTGACTACGACAATTAGTACACAATTTCTGTAGTTATTTATGCGCACTGGCTATTTGCCTGTCATGCGACCTCTCGCCATATAACAAAAGTTTGAACGGTTGACAAGTTGCGAAAAAAAGCAAAAACGTTTGGAAAGTCTGTGGTCTACACTGGAATCTGAAAATAAAGGTATTTGAAAGTAGAATTTTAGTTATTTTCGATTTATTTATCGACTGCGTTTTTTCAATTTGTAAACAATTATTTTGTGGACTTGGTGTTAATTGTTTTTGGGCACTGTGCTTTAATATTGCATTTATTTTTCAAAAGCTGGAATTGTTACAGCAATAATAAATGCAGTGAGCACCACTAAAATTAATGTTTTTTACAACAGGAAGACCATTGTAGAGAACAAAATTAATACTTATATAACTGCTTTTTAGATGATTTTGATAAAGCTTTGAAAAAATTGAGGCAATTAGAAGTGACCTCAGAGGTTCAGTCCGAGGTGGAGCAAACTCCTACTAAAAGAAAATGAATTCCACGAAAAATATCATCTGATTTTAACGATGAGGATACCACCAGTGCACTATTTCAAATGATCTGGAATTACAACTAACTGAAAAGTTATGACATTCACCATATTATGCATTACAATTGGATGAAAGCACAGATATTTCAAATAATGATATATTAAGAGTAAGCATATGTCAGGCATGTTGATTATGAATTGGAAGATATGAAAGCATTTTTATGTATTTTAAAACTCCACTCCTACACTACAAATCAACTAAATTTTTGAAACCATCAATTCATACTTTGAATCTAAACACATCTCTTGGAACAAATGCATAGGTATATGCACAGATGGTGCAGCAGCGATGGTAGGAAAACACCAATAGCGAAAATTACACATAAAAATATTATTAAAATCCATTGCATTCTTCATCGCCAACAGTTGGTATGCAAAACTATAAATACAGATTTAGATGCAGTTTTAGATCAGTGTGTGAAAACAATAAACCACATTCTTAACAGCGCAGTACAGTATTATGTAAAGAAATGGGGTTCAGATCACAAAGTTTTGTTATTACATTCACATACACGACGGTTTTGACAGGCAGAGTACTGAAATGATTTTTCGACCTAAGAATGTAAATAGAAATATTTTTAAATAATCAGAACTCACTGTTAGCAGTGCATTTCAAAAGCAATGTAAGGCTGGCAAAAGTTGCTTATCTTGCTGATATTTTTTCATCAGTTAAGGAATTAACTTTGTCAATGCAAGGGTTCATGACTAACTTATTTACATGTAATACCAAAGTTGAACCTTTCATTAAAAAAATGTATATTTGGAAAGACCGAATAGGTAAAACAAAATTTAATCGGAGACAAAATACTAGAAAATGAGAAATTTGTTGATATAAGTATCATAATACAAAATTACTTGCTACAATTAAAAGAAAGATTCCTCAGCAATTTTACTCGTGCTGCAGATATCCGATTAGATAATATATGGATACAGAATCCGTTTCTTACACATGAAAATAATATTTTGTGTTCATTGGATGAAGAAAAATTAGCAGAATTGTCGTGTGATAAACTGCTGCAAACGCAGTTTACCAATCAAAAAAACTTTGTAAAATTTTGGATACAAATACGAAATGAATCCCAAGCTTTAAGTGAAAAAGCAATGGAGCTCCTACTACCGTTCGCAGCAACATACTTAGCAGGAAGTGATTTTTCAGCTCTAGCGGCGATTAAGAATAAATACAGAAATCGGCTTGAAAGTATTGACGCCACAATGGGGATTGCGTTGACAAAGTCGATGGAAGCAAGGATCGACGAATTAGTGAACGACAACCAGGAGCAGAAAAGTCATTAATATATAATATGTAATATAATAAAATATATGTGATTTTGTTCATAAAGTAATAACGAAAAAATGTTTATTTATTGACAGTCCCGTACTATATAGTAACCTCCCTGTTGAGGTAAAAAGTTAATCTTCAGTTTTAGTTTTTAAGAGGAACCTGAAATTATATTATTTTCTTTTAAGTTATATAGTACATTTTGTGTAGATATAGAGTTATTTGTAATGTATATGTGTTAACACACATTTAAAATTAACGTCAAGCCCCAGACATTCATTTATACTTATTTAAAAAAATATATTGTAATTTCAAAAAATAAATGCTCATGTAAAAATTATAATTCTTAGTTATAGTTTGCAACTCATAGAAAAATAACAAATTTTAAGGGCTAAAAATTGATTTTATTTGAGATAGTTTACAGAGATATTTCCTACAGTCCCGCAATTTTAACCCTAAAGAGGTCGCGCCGCTGACAAATAGCCCGACATGTTTCGTTTTTCAAATATATCTTTGTTAAAGCTTAATACTCTGCTTTATGCGTCCATAAATCTGTTCATTACAGATTTTTAAACAATATACAATTTTAGGTATGCTTCGGTGTTGTTCTTTCTGATCATTTGTGGTTTAGTTTTGCATGTTTTTTGTCATAATAAGTTATGAAAAAATGCAGCAGCGTTTGGAAAAACTGTGGGCTACATGTGAGTCGAATATTGAAAGTGTGTAAAATAAAATTTCTGTTATTTTCGGAAAGTAAGGTTATGTTTTATTTAAAAGCCAATGATGAGGATTCTGATAATGCCGACGATGACTGATAACAGAAAACGTAAAATTCAAAATATATTACCACATCGAGTCGTCAGTCGGAGAGGAAGGTCGTGTGTTCCAGTGGTGAATTTGCTTTTGCATGTTTGCTTGCTTTTGTGAATTCGCCGCCGTGCTGTGACCCAACGCTCCATTGAAGTTCACCGAGTTCGCTGCGTTATTGTGCTTTTCAGCGCTCTATCGCTAACATTCCTTGTGCAACGTTTCGCAACGTTTTCCATCGGCTACGCTACTTTTTTCAAAGCGAATAGTAGTCGATGTGGCACAAATAAATTCGCAACCAGAAAACGTCTCGGGCTCTGTTAGTGCCACCATGGCGCAGGCAGGGGCCCCACACGACGCCATGCTGTCCAGGATCCTGGCCATCGTGTCCAGGATGGAGGCAGCGTTGAAAAAATACGCCAAAAGGATCGAGAGGATCGAAAAGAAGATGGAGGAGGTCTACACCCCGGCCGAGACCTCCACCGACGAAGACACCTCGGACTCGGACGAGTCCATGGACGTCACGTCCGCAAGGCCCCCCCTGGAATCCCCGTTCGAGGAGCCCCCGTTCCAGGAGGTCCCCCCGCCAGAGCTGGCGCAAAAAGGCCAGCCACCCCCACCCCCGAGCCAGTCTTCACGACTGGCAACATGTTCTCCGCCCTTAGCGGCGAGGAGCAAGCCCCTACGCCATCCACTTCGGCCACAAAGCCGAAGATACCGTCTCCGCCCCCGACCGTGGTGCCCAAGCCACGAGCCAAGCCCCCGGCCACGGAGAAGCCAGCCCCATCTGCTGCTGGCAAGAAGCAGCAGAAAAACGTCAAGCCCCAGACTGCCCCCCCCCCTGCTGCCAAGCAGCAGAAGAAGCCCCAGCCCCAGGCAGGCCCACGCCGGGACACCGCCAGGGCCAAGACCGCCACCACCGCCGAGACCACCCCCGTCGTCGACGAGACCCCCGCCGAGCCGCGGCCCGAGTCCCAGACCCAGACCGTGGAGGAGACCATGGAGACGGAGATCCCCGTGGAGACACCACGTCCCCCAATCACCCTGAAAAGCAGGATTCCACCCATAATCCTGTGGGACGGCCAGAGATGGTCAGAAGTTTCACGCCGGATGACTGACAACTCCTTCCGGGACTCGAAAGCGAAGTCCACCCCGGAAGGAGTGCGAATTCAGCCGGTAAAGGTGAGCGACTTCAGAAGGCTTGTAAGACTTCTGGACAGTCTGAAGGTGCCGTATCACACCTTCACGCTCCCGGAGGAGAAAACCCTCCGCGTCGTCATCCGTGGCATCGCCGTAGGCGTTGCCAGCCAGGAGGTGCTGGAAGACCTGGAGTCTCTGGGTTTTCTAACCAATCCAGGTTAGTCGGATGAACCGAAACGACCGCCCGATGCCCCTCGTCCTCGCCGAGATGCCTATGGCCAAGAAGGCCGAGATCTTCGAGGTGAAGACACTCTGCGGCCTCTCCGTCAAGGTGGAGAAGCCCCACAAGAGGAAGGACGCTGCCCAACGCCACCGCTGCCAGCGATTCCACCACTCCCAGCGTCACTGCAGTGCCGAACACCGCTGCGTCAAATGCGGCGCTGATCACCAGACTAGCGACTGCGAGAAGCGGCGCAGGCAGCCTGCCAAATGCGCTAATTGTAGCGGACCACACCAGGCCAGCTACAAGGGGTGTCCCAAGTTCCCCAAGCCACAGCAACAGAAGGCTTCCAAGAAGCCTTCCACATCGTCGAAGACGACCGCCCCCAGGACCGCCGCCCCCAAACGCGGTGCCCTCCCCAAGGCCACCCCAAAACCCAAACCCGCTCCCGTCCCCAAGAAGGTCGCCCTCACGGCTCGCCAACATGTCGACCTCCAGCTCCAAAAAAGCCAACTCATGACCGCCATCGCCGCCGCCAAGGACTCGCAGTCCATGGCGGAAAAAATGGCGGCATACCTTCCCCTCATTTTCAAAAATTAGATGGGTAGTACACCACTAATTGTAAATTCCTTACAGATCGCCTTCTGGAATGCCAATGGACTCCGGAGCGGGCGTTTTGAACTCGAAGAGTTCATGGAAGACCACCAGCTCGATGCCATCCTCGTCAACAAGACGAACCTCCCGTGGAATTCCCGAGATCCCAAGATGCCGGGGTACACCCTGCACCGAACGGAACGCAGGGACGGAAATGGTAGAGGAACGGCCATCTACGTAATAAAAGAGATTAAACACTCTTCTTCTTACGTCCCCGATCTCCGACAACTAGAAGCGACGGCGGTAACCGTTGTGACTGCGAGAGGGCCTCTGCGCCTAATTGCTTGTTACAACCACTCCAACACGCTCCAGGTTGAAGACATCGCTGACCTCGTCGCAGGTGACGAGGTCACCATCGCAGCAGGCGACTTCAACGCCAAGCATTCCGACTTACACAACCGCTAGAACAACGCGAACGGAAGGCGACTCCGAACCTTCCTCGAAAACAGCGCAGAAGTAGACGTCATCTCCACCGAAGAACCGACGTTTTACCACCGTACCCGACCAGATGCATCAGGTGATGTCTTGGACATTGCCCTCGTCAAGAACCTCCGACACGAAGTGGACGTCAATGTCGTCGACGTGCTCCAAAAGAAAAGATTGCGATTTGATAATGCTTCAACAGCTTCCATGAGTAAGGCTAAAAAAAATATTCAAATTTAAGTGACGATTACGGAGAAAATGTGCGTGCTCTAGATACAAATCCCGAAGAATTGAGCAGAATGAAGAATGCATTTATGTGGTCTCCGAAAAACGGACGAAGAAATTCATCAATTGTGTACTGAAACAATACATCAGTCCACATCTAATCTGTGGTACACAGAACGCCGTAAGCGACTAACAGCTTCATACTTTGGTAAAATTTGTAAAATGCGGCCGTCTACTAATCCACCAAATACAATAAAGGCACTTCTTTATTCGACATTTTCTGGTAATAAGTATACAGATTATGGAAAAGACCATGAACACAATGCAAGGAAACATTTTTCTAAAATGATTGACAAAGACGTTACAGAATGTAGGTTTTTTGTTGGAAAAGATGATTATTGTTACTTAGGAGCTTCGCCTGATGGTTTAATTGACGATGATGGGTTAGTTGAAAGCAAATGCCCATATAAAGGAAAGGATTCTACACCTGAAACAATTAATTTTGCTACATTGTCAACGGTAAATTTAAACCAGAAGTCGATTTATACGAACAGTTTAGAAAATGTGGAGTTTTTGAGGAATTTAATAAAGATGTTGGTCGTGTTGCCAATAATGCAAGTAGTTTACTTCACGATGTTGACAACAATTTAACCGTAAATTTTAACAGCATAGTTAATAAATTTGTTGGAGAAAAGCGCATAAATTTTTCACTTTCAGGAAGTTATGAAACCCGGTGCTTTGCAGCTGCACTAGAGTTTAATAAAAAATCATTCACTTCATCTGTTGAGAGGTATTTCAATAAGTCTGGAAAACTTGGAAAATATACGTCAAGCCACTGTGATAAAAAAATCGTTAGAATTCCGAAAAGGCGAAGAACCAGAAATAAAACATTACACTCTGGAATTACTGAAGCAATGTTTTTCTTTGGAAGGACTGGACAAACGCGATTTAGATTTTGTAGAGGAAAATACAGGACAACGTCTAAATCCGTTATGGATGAAGGAAAGATCAGTTCGTCTGACTGCAAGCTGCTTTGGACAAGTGTGCAAAATGAGACCTACAACTTCTACTGACAATTTAGTGAAGAACATTTTGTATGCCAAACCTTCAAATACTGCTCCGATTTTACATGGAATTATTAACCAAGAAAAAGCTGCTGCGTTTGAGAAAAAATGTTGTCCAGAAGTTGAACCCTGTGGTTTATTTATAGATCAAAATAAAAGATTTTTTGCCTTCTTCACCCGGTGGAAATATTGGTAACAACGTAATAATAGTGTAAAACAGACTGTAAGAAAAAAATATATTTCTTACTGCACAATTGATAAATTTAACAAAATCAAATTAAAAACAAATCACAAGTGGTATTTTCAAGTACAAGGTCAGTTGCACATAACTGGACAAAATATGTGCTATTTTGAAGTATATACGAATAAAGATATGCACTGGCAGATAATAAAAAAACATGATACTTTTGGCTAATATTCATATCAATGACAACTCCCTTGTGAGACACAAGAATGAACAAGGCTACGACAAATTATACAAATTGAGACCCCTAATAGACAGACTGAATGAGAATTATAAAAAAATTTACGCTCCAACAAATGAGCAAGCCGTGTAAGACAGCATGGTAAAATATAAGAGTTTCTTTCAAGCAATACATGCCCCAAAAGCCTATAAAGCGAGGCTATAAGATTTGGGTGCGGGCCGATTTATTTGAATACCTATGTGATTTTCAAATTTATACAGGCCGACAAGAATCAAAAACTGAACAAGGATTGGGAGAAAGGGTGGTGGAAGACATGACCGTCGGTTTGGAAGGGAAAAACTACAATATTTACTTTCATAACTTCTTTACGACAGTTCGGCTAATGGAAAAGTTACGGTGTAAAAAAATTTCACACCATCTAATTAAATACTCCAAAGAGTACGAACTGGAAAATAAGAGCACAGACGAGGGGTTTATATTAGAACTGGACGAAGATGCAGTTGTGTTCAATTTAAATTTCACTTTAAGTGATCATCTGAAAGCATCTATATTTTATTTACTTGAAAGCATTATTTTTAAAATGAAATGCAACCGCAAGACCTGCGAGGCGTGCCTTTCTAGTGTCATCACTAATTCTAGTGATGTTGCGGAATTGAATATGTTTACAAAATTCAAGGAACACGAAGAAAACAATAAGTTAATGTATCCCTGTGGAGCTGTATATAATTACATATGTAATGTAGAAACAGAATTTAGATTATTTCAAAATGATATTATAAAAAATAATCTTAGTTTTATCAATTTTTTCACCTTAGTTTGTACAGAGTATCCTTTGTTGGAAGATATTCCATTGTGTCATAATATTCTGGAAAAATTTGTTAAATTGTACATAAAAAGTAGATTATAAAATTTCGCTTAAAAATATGGCGAAGGAGTTTACCAAAATGGGGGACTCAATGAGCAGCAGATGTGTAGCTATGCGTAATCTTGTGAAAAATAAATAATACTTAGTTTATTGTTAGTTGCATTACGTATCTCCCAGCCCTTTTTATATTCTTGTTCTCCCAAAACCTGGTAACTCTAGAAATTTGCAGTTTTTGTTTGTTTAAATAATAATTTCCTTCTCCGCATTTACCTCCCATAATACATATAATATGTTGATGTTTGTTATTTTCACTATATGCCAAAGTATTAAACTCTTGGCTAAATATGTTTTGCATTCCCTTGAAAAATTCAGATTTCAGATAAATAACATTTAAATTAACCGCTTTTTAGCCCCAAAATGGAGGAGCATTGCGGTACTTAATCTATCTAATGACTTTAGATCTTCGCTGTCCGCTGATTTAGTATTTTAGATTAGGAACCTATGATGACATATTGTTATAGTTTTATTAACAATCGAGCAAATAGCAATAAGCACTAAAGTGAAAATAACAAAGCAAAAATTAATATCTGCTTGCCTGGAATTAATTTAATCATCATTAAATTAATCACTGTAAATGGGAGACCATTCTCAATTTTTAATGATACTATGACTACTGAAAGTAACAACTTGAGAGATATAATCTCTAAAGAAGTGAAAGATTTAATGGTATATCTGAAAGTGGATGCTGCTACTAGAAATATTAAACGTTTAATTTAGGCACTCCTCCCAGAAGTATTGTAACAAAAAAAAAATGCCTGGATAACTCCAGAACGTCATGCGGCCAGAGATGCCTTTCAAGAATTTATTAAAGACGGACACATACCCTGTTTCAGAGACTGTTGCACGGCAATTCAGACAAATCAGCAACTGAAAAAACGGACCCCTGCGCAACTAAGTAAGAGCATGGATTGCACATGAAATTAAAAAAACTCACTCTGGTAAAAGAACGTTTAATTCATGAAATTGTGCTCTTTTTAATGCTTGTGTTCTTTCCAGATGATAACAACCAACGAAAGACGTGGAATACTCCATAAAAGCGATTTGTCAAAAACATTTTTGGCCAGCATATAATTTCAGGGACTTATCCCTCGGGACGTGAAATGCTGGATGTTATTAAAAATAATGCATTATTAATGAACAGGACAGTCAGTAGCATAAGGAGTTGAACTCGATTATTATACTTCTTAGCTTATGCTCAAGAAGTAAAATGTATGTTAAGCTCATTACATATTACTTTGCAAACAATTATTTTGAAACATGGTCTTCTGGACAAGCAGTATGTAACG